GGGCAGACTGGTTCGAGATCATAGAAAGGCAACAGTATCTCATGTCAATATGGACCAAAATCTCTGAGGAATGTTTCCAACACCTTGTTGAATCTATTCCACGAAGAATTAAGGCAGTTCTGAAAACAAAAGCAGGTCCAACCCAGTACTAACAACGTGTACCTAATAAAGTGGCCGTTGAGTGTATGTGTATATATATATATATATTTATATAGACACTCTATATACGCACACAGTATACTTATATATGCACACACACACACAATATCTGCATAGAATTCCAATCTATCAGTCTATTCATCCCGTTGTCTAAGTATCATATGTTGTTTACACTGTACCAGACAGAATAAATGACTTTAAAGACCATGCTAAAGCGCAAATCCATGTAGGTCATCTGAATGGCATGTAACATCATTCATCCACTGAAGACAGGGAATGTCTTTATACTATCTGAAACAAATGCAAAGGTTTGTATTGGAATGCCCTGTGCTATCACTAGAATATAAATGAGTTACGTTATGTTCGGCTGATCACTTTGCATCAAATTGGTTGTAAAGTAATGAACATTGCATTCATGCTTTCTCACTACAAATGGTTCGCAGATCGAGACTGAAGGGCAGATCCAACTACATCCTAACCTCAAATTACTACTTTCCTGATGATGCTGAAATACCTTTCCCTTTTAGAGACCTGTATTTTCTACTGCTACTGAGGGACTGATCCACCACAATCACCATGATTAATCAGCTTTTGCAGCCATTGTGTGGGAAGCTGAATTTAAACCAAACCATTTGCAGTGATGGGGTCTATTTCACATTCACCTCTACGTTCACCTTGAAACATATGAACATTTCTTACAGAATATCACATGGAAGCAAGAATAATGTGACCCTCATCTGAGCCAAAACATCTATTCCACTAGATATAAAAAAAGAAATCTGCTGGAGAAGCACCCTGCTTACTAGCTGCCAACCAGCTGCAAACATTACACCAGATAACAGAATTAGCATACTTGAGCAGATTTAAAGTGCACACTCTCTGGGCTTGGGATAATAACCACTTTCCCTACATCAAAAATATTTATCACCATACACGGCTATATCTCAGCTGTGATTAAACATTGGAAAACTTCATTTTAGTAATGCTCACTGCAGCTGCAAGATCTAAAGCATTACTATTGTGCTGCTTGACCCATCTAGAGCAGGGGTCTCCAGACCTTTCCAAAAAAAAATGGACAGTTTGCTGTCCTTCAGACTTTAGGGGCCTCGAACTGTGCAGTTTGCTGTCCTTCAGACTTTAGGGGCCTCGAACTGTGCAGTTTGCTGTCCTTCAGACTTTAGGGGGCTCGAACTGTGGTAAAAAGAAAATGGAATAAGTGAGACTAAACATTCCCTCACTTTCATATCAAAGGAAGGAGTGCACCCATCATCGTCAATAGGAGGAATTGTACCCTATTATTGGTGTCAGTGGAAGCAATAGTGCCCCATCATTAGTGTTAGTGGATGGTATAGTGCTCTGTTGTTGGTCTCAATAAGAGAAATAATGCCCTGTTGTTGGTGTCAGTGGGAGAAATAGTGCCCCATATTGTTGGTGTCATTGGGAGGAATAGTGCCCCAAGGAAAGGCAAGCAAAACACCACATTTGGCCCCAGGACCATAGTTTGGAGACCACTGATCTAGGACATTGTGGTAAGATCACCAGATTTGACCATGAATGCAAGTAGCCAATCTAACCAATACTTAAGTTTTCCACCCAAACTGAAACATTGATAACAAGTTCTATTTTTAACTGACGAGGCAGGAAACATAACAGTCAGAGAACAACCTCAGTCACACAAGAACTACTGTACATTCTCTCTTTGGTCCTCAAATAATCAGACTGGTTTTTCATCACATTTGATATAACAATAGATATCTGTTAGCCCTTCATACGTGACCTAATTATTTGCAGATAAGGCCTAAAATGACCAAATTTGCCAGTTATCAGAACATGTGCATGTTCATGGATTAGGGCTCATTCACACAGGGTGTACAATACTATACATTTTTCCATCAGATGGAGTCTTCTGTTTTTTTAACCACAAGATGGTGTATGTAAAAATTTCAGTGAATAATACTGTGTACTGATATCTTGGCTAATCCAAAGCAAGGATTGGTTACAAATGGGTATATAAGAAGTAATGGATCAGCATGGTGCCCGGAAAAATCATTTCTGATGAAATGCGTAGGGTAGAACTACATGCTGACATCATCATGTTACCAGAAGTGTCTCGAAAGTGAGTCTTTTGCTAGGTGGATGTTTGTTAACTGTGCAGTACTTTTGTTTTTATTTGTATGTGCATTTTGAACTTTAATAAATGTATTATATTGGCTTTTACACTATGTGGCACGCTCACTCTCCTATTTATTTCTGAGCTGGTGTGGAGGCAGAAGAAGGATATGTATGGGCATTAACTATCTCAGAGCAACTGCTAAGCCTGGCCCGGAAGTTCAGCATATGTTGACTACTGGCATCATATGTTGCATGTGACTTCTCTGTAGCAAGAAGGTCATATATCTTTGGTAAGCCTGTACCTGCGGCCATTCTCGGCGGTGGAGAGTCTATCAGGTGTGGGAACACAATTCAGGACTTTTGTCTGACACCCCTTTGTTGTGAATTTGTTCACAGAGTGGACTATTGCACCAGTAGATGGACTCCTGATCATATATTTTATAATGTGATTTTTCTTATATTGGTTTTCGTTTACAAGGTCAACATGCTTTGTATATGTACAACACAGAACGCCTGTGCGTAACCGTATTTACCAGCATGAGGATGCACAGGTTTCCCATGCATCCCCTTGCAGGCAGTTCAATTGATGTCAATTGGGACACAGTGTCTGCAAGGAAATAGCCGCTGTGTCCCAATACGACATCCATGTGGGTACAGGAGCATGCAAGTCCCCAAACGCACACTGTCTATGTTCAGGGACCTGCACCCACACAGATGTGGTGCAGCCACTGTGTCACAATGAACATCAATGGGACTGACTGCCCGGGCATACACGGAACTCTTGTGCATCCTCATGCAGTTAAGCACAGTACTGCATGGGCGAACAGTATTGTACACCCTATCTGTACCAGGCCTAAGGTGAAGTATAGAAGTCTGTAGCAAAAGACCTTCTTCTTTTTTTTCTGTTGATCTGTAGTTGACCTGTGGCAATGACCTGCAAACTCACATCCTATTAGCAGCACGTTGTAAACCCATAACCCCCCAACTCATAAACATTGCACACACAACTCTACTTAAAAGCTAAGCTTAAGGGTCCAAATTGTTTTAGTATTTCGTATTACCAAACACTGTTGTCAACTTAAAAATGAGCTTTTACATGAAGTACTGTTGCATTGTATGCTAAGTCATGGCCAGTTCATATATAACGTGTCTTTACCGTTACTCAAAAATGACGTTATATGAATTGGGTCATGACTCTGGCTCTTCTAAAGACCTAGCTTTTGTGTTAAGACCAGCCCTACCTAAAACCTGCCCCATGGGAAGTCATCACAGATGGTTTTATTGGAGGGGCTAACATCTGCCTTCACAATACACTGTTAATGCCTTCAGTTGTGGTGTAGCATAACCACAGTCTGTCCATATCTGCAGAAGTGTGGGTCACGCTGCCCACAGCTCTGCAGGAAACCTCACATAATGGTCATGTCATCAGCTCACCAACCCTATTTCTGTTTGGGATTGAGCTTCTGGGACAGAGTTAAGTCCTTGCTAGCTTAATGATCACATTATACACAAGAGAAGGGAAGGTTAGGCAGGCTTCATCCCACTTTTCCTGGGAAGTTTATCTTTAAAGTGGCTGTAAGCCTCTGAAATTAAAAATGAACAAAGCATACCCTCATGTAGTGTGTGCTTTCCTCAGTCCATAGTCCATGCTATCTGCATGAGTCACTTCTGACAGTTTTTCCAGAAACCAGGCAATCCTGAGAAAAGCCCCCCAACCCCAACCCCACCCCCAGCACACAGAAGGTGATTGACAGCTTCAGATGTAAGTATCTACTTATGAGGCTGTGTACAGAGAGGTGTGTCCTTTCATTTCACTCAAGTTTCCGATTACACTCAGCTCCATACTCTGTGCTGTGCAGTGTGTGATGTCAGATTCCCGCCCCAACAAATCTTGGTTTTTTGGAATGCTGTGGAGGACAAAAGGCTTGAGATAAACAGGTCCAATCTATGTAGGAGGATTTAGGGAGGCTAGTTACTTCAGTGGGCTTATGTAAAGGTTTATTATAACTAAGTTAGACTTAGGAAAGTGATAGATGTAGGGATGTGGGGGGGGGGGATTCAGTCTCAACCCATCTTCCTTGAAGATGCCCACAGGGACCCTAGGTGATCTGGAATCCTAGCAAAGACCATGCCTTGTACGCTCTATGAACATTTGGTTGTGGGCCTAGCAGGGGCGGACTGACCATTTGGAAACTCGGTCACTGCCCGAGGGCCCGGGGTCGGTAGGGGGCACCATGAGATGCCCATGGTACCTTTTTCATAGGCTTTTTTGAGTTTGGGCAAGGACACAGGGGCCCATGATCCCCTATTGCCCGGGGCCCCATGAGTTGTCAGTCCTCCCCTGGGGCTTAGCCTCAAGCCCCGTCTTTACACACAAGGCTCCAGCAACAGCTCAGTGTCTATTTGACTGCGCCATCTATGATAAGAAGTGTTTGCTGTTTTGCTGTATATGTTGCTATGTATAGTATATAAGTAAAGCAGCATCACAAGCTGCTCATTGTTCACCACTGATCTAACCTCTAAAAGGAACATATTGAAACACACAATACGTAGTAAATATGTGTGTTTAACCTCTTTCTCTGTGCTATATTAGCTGAATTCTAGGATAAGCACACATTGTCTAAGTACAACAGTCATGTATATTCTTTCTTGAATCTTGGTGCGCTCTGTTTATTTTTTTCACATCTGTATAGTAATCCACATCTGTGCCGACGCGTCCTGTAACTACTGCTCTCCCGCAAAGTGACAGGTCTTGAATCCATCTCCCTCTAATAATTATCTGCAGGCTGCCTCAAGTGCAGTGTTTCTCATCCTTTTTCAGTCAAGGCACCCTTTAAAATTATGGCACCCTTTAAAAGTGGACAGTCCTGAGGCACCCTTTAAAAATTATGGACAGTCCTGAGGTACCCTTTAAAATTATGGACAGTCTTGAGGCACCCTTTAAAATTATATGGCACCCTTTAAAATTATGGTCTTGAGGCACCCTTAAAATTATGGACAGTCCTGAGGCACCCTTTAAAATTATGGACTGTCTTGAGGCACCCTTTAAAATTATGGACAGTCTTGAGGCACCCCATTCTAAAATAGGGTGCTTCTAGACTGTCCATAATTTAAAAAGGGCACCTCATTCTAATAGTTTTATATAACACAGCAACATCCACACATGTAGAACACCCAACCTTAGAGGTGATTTATTCTTCAAAAGCAAATACTCGTTTGCACACTGGTACTGACTAGTATTCCCGTGTTTCTCTTCTCCCTCAGTTTTTCTCCATTACTGAGTTAATGTGACCCCAGAACTGATGGAGAGGGGCAGGTTGGTTGTCAGAATGCTGTCGCCTAGAAGGTTGTAATGGTGCACAATGAAAACCTGTGGCTTTGTGTAACTAAAAGGCAGGCTTGTTCCACCTGCTTGGTTGTATACAAGTTTTGGAAACTATAAATTAATAAATAATCATAAAAAATAATAATATAATAATAATAATACATTTAATTCAATAATATAATCAAACCAAAAACACTGAAATTTGAAATAGAGCGCCAAGTTCGCACATTACTGAGCAAAGTCGCAGAATCATTTTCAGTGTCTGATGACGAATTTCCCCACGAATCATTATCACTCAATTCTGCAAGTGGTTCTGATTTACTATCGCTGTTCTCTAGCTGGTCTAAAACCACTTTTGACCTAAAGGGACGCTTTTTGGACGCCATGGACATTTCTCAGTTTCCAGGCAAAAAGAACAGTCAAAATGCAGGCAGGGCACAGGACAAAGCAGTAGGGACAAAATGTATGTGAAATGCTTTGAAACAGCAATGTGTTGCTATGTAATAATCGTTTTTTTAAAAAATGACATTTTTAAAACATTCAAATTTGCCGCCGTTCCGGCGCCCGTACGTCCCGACGTCACAGGGACTTGAACACGGAAGCCAGATGCCGGCATCGGCTGGAGGAGATGGCTGGGGACGCTGCAGGGGACACATCGCGGGAGCGAAGGACAAGGTAAGTGCCGCAGGGACTCCCTGAGCAACGCCGCATGGTAAGCCCGAGTGTAGCTTGGTGTTACCGCTCTTGGTACTGAAACTTTACCCCGAGCTACACTCAGGAATACCGCCAGGGAGGTTAAGATTTAAACCTGTAGGGGCCTGATTTTGTTTTTTATTTTTGCGGCAGTTTACTACCACTTTAAGAACCACCTGTGGCCCCTGGGAAGTCTCCACTATAATCATAGGTTGCCCAGTGTAGTCCCAATGCGCCTTGTATGAACGGGCCCTTAGCTCACTACAGTGCCAGGCATGCAGGACCAAAAGCTAAGCAGCAATTTTTTTGCCACTGATGATGAGCTCACCAAAAATAAAATCTGCTACAAAAATTGATCTGCCTGCTGGAAAATTTATTTTGCTCTCATTAATATGTTCAGAGAGATAGGGGGAATGGATTCAAAAGTAAAACTGCAAAAGATTTCATAAAAGTGTAATAAAAACTGTGCCTGATACTTTGTTGTAACCAATCGCATGTGGCTAGCTTAGAACACACGTGCCATTCCAAAAAATCTCAAAATTGTATCTCTAAATGTGTTTGGTGTCTCTCCAGCTGAATCACACACATCTCAATGCAGAGATGTCTCACAGACAACTCGGTCCCATGCCAAGATTATACAGTTCTAAAAGGTAAATAGATCAAAGCTATTTATGCCTGGGCAGCAGAAAGGCCAAATGACATGCCGGCAGAAAGCATACTACCTGGCCTGCCCCCCCCAACCCCACCTCTCATGTCACAAAAGCAATAAATACATTACAATGTTATTTCATCCTTTCACATTAGAGTTCAGCCTGGGGAGCACAGCCTGGAACAAGTCTGGAAAGAAAAGTATAAAAAAGACAGCCATTATCTTTAATAGATAAATGGTTGGCCCGGCTGGAGAATTAAAACGGCCATGTTGAGTCTCTGGACGGCACGTCACAAGCCTTTTCTACTGTATGCCATCTATTTATATCAGCCTTTCACGTCTATATGGCTTATATAAGTATTAATCTGAAATCCGCACAACACAGGCTCCTATGTAATATCACATTTTCTGCAAATGTAGAAGCGAAATCACATGATTACCTATTTACTGATTTCCATTTCTTAACGGTGTCGAGAAGAAAAAAAAAATCAAGGTATTGTAAGCCCAGTAAGAATGTAGTGTCATGACTAAGCAAGAAGTAAATGAGCCAGCTCCCCCCCAGAATTTTATCTGCGCTGGAACACATTTCAGATGCTACAGTTGCCGTTCAATAGCAAGGCAAATCCTGCATTTAATCAGCAAGAATATTGATTCACCATGCAGAACTTTCTGCCTAATTCTAATACGGCCACATGTTTTCCCTTGAATAGTGCAAGGAACAGGAAAGTGTAAATGGCAAACTAATAGCATTTCAAGCTCTAGCTGTTTAATTTCTGAAAGCTCTCCATTTTAGTCATTTGGCTGCCTGCCAATAGACCAGCCCATGCTCTGGTAAGGCCGCTTCTGAACTGCTTTTGAAAAAAAAAAAAAAGTGCCCCACTTCGGCCTTATGCTGACACCAGCACATAGGTTTGTGGCGTATATTGGGAACATTCGCCAGTTTCAATGCACTGGCATCAGCTACTGTATCAAGATCCTATGCATCAATATTACCAATAAGGATTACAAATAATAGATTATCAATTAGCAATATAATAATTATTATCATTATAATGTATCAAGATCTTGGGGGTTATTTACTAAAACTTCAAAATCTGGTGCAGCTCTGCATAGAAACCAACCAGCTTGCAGGTTTTATTGTCAAGGCTTAATTGAACAAGCTGAAGATAGAAACTGATTGGCTATCGTGAACATCTGATTTTGAGTGCACCCGTTTTTTTTTCGTAAATCCCCCCACGTGTCAATAATAATAATAATAGTAATCATACTGTGTACAAGCTCATATGCTTTGATGTACAGTTAACCCCACAGTAGTGTATAAGACCTCCACCATTGGACTAATAAAACATCCCGAGAACTTTGGAATATTGGAGGCAACTGGTGAAAGCACATGGTAAACACATTTTTGTGCAATAGATGTTGCTGAAAAGCTCCTGTCCTGCCATAATTAGAAGTAACCCACATCCAAGGCAGTCAAATAAATGAAAGGGTCTCCTTTGATGGGAACAGACTCAGAGCAGGGAGAGGAGAATCACATTTCCCAAGGGAATAAGCATTGCTTCAAAGAGAAATCAGACTGGAACATTAGTTCAATCCCACAGGAGCAATGTGGAAGGAACTACAGTCACTTTCACAGAAATAAAAAAAAAATTAAGTTCAACTAAGTTCTTAATTACAATTTATTTTCTTCCAACTAATCCTCTTAATCGCCTTTCCTTTTTTTTTGGTACGTTAACATGCTGTGCTGGAGTTCTGTGAAATGACCCGATAGCCTGATATGCAATAGAGCATAATAATATAAAATATCTGTAGGCAGTGTTTTTGTTTTAGCCTATGAATACTGCCTGCTGACAGAATGTGAAAGATTAAAAAAAAGAAACACCGCATATGTCAATTTGTTCTTAGGCATATATGTATTTGACTGACTTCATGGCTCCAAATTGGTTTTCCTGGAGAACCCAAAGGGACAAGTGAATTCCCCGGAGAAGTGGAAGCGTGCCCATTTCCTAAATGACTGCAAAGGACAATTGTAGAAAATAGAAAAAAAAAAAAAAAAAAAAGAAATCTCAGATTTCTGCTCCGGTGTGTCATAGCATTGCCCTCCAAAGTATGGATTGCGTCTCGCACAAATCGATGCTTATTGTTTGCAATGACCAAATCGCTTTGATTTTTCTTTTTTCTTTCTATGAATTACATGCGCTGCGTTTCAGCAAAGCTGGGAGAGGAAATAATGATGGGAGGTGTTTTTCAACATTTCAAAACACAGAAACATCTTTTATTAAAAAAAAAAACAAAACAAAAAACAGTCCACAGGAAATAAAAAAACGTTTTTCTTTATCTACTTTTTCTTTTTTTTTCCTGTTTTGTCCCACTTTTCACATGGATAGATAAAGAAACCAAAGCAGTCAGAGAGTAACCCAACTGGCAAAGATATGATTTCTCTTTTCCCCTCAACGTGCAAGTATGTGCAGCGAGGTGTGCAAATCAAATTAATGTCATTATCTAGTATTAGTTCTGAGTCTTTTCCACAGAGCTGAGTGCTTTGCAAATGCAGCCAGCAGTGAAAGTGTATTCCTCTGGATGAGACTTTCATGTGGACTGTGGAAGTCAGCCTGTTATGTTCAGAGCTGGAGACATAGAGCAATACCTGTTGTAGATGGAGCCTTTATTGTATTGTACATTCCCAGAGATGTGACGCTGATGCCTCTTGCCAAATTCAAGTATAATTGCTCCTTCTCTGTGCCTGTCACTCTATTATGTGACTGCTTCCCCCCCTTTTTTTTCTTTCTTTCAACCGGCAAAACACTATTATTCTTTTCCAAATAGGTCATAGAAGTATAGATCTGAATTTCCACAGTAATGGAAGCCTAAAGCTAAAAAAACCCAATAATTGCATAGCACTCGAAAATGTTGCCTTTTACATTTTAATACATCCTCCCATTGCTGGAGACTGAACTTTGCTCCTCGTGACACTGCTACCAATTTCCCAATGACACACTTGGCAGCCTGGCTCCTGCTATACCGTGGAAGCAGATTTAGAAGCTGAATGTGTAAAAGTGATGCCACACACTGCTGTAATTAATATATCCGTGAATACAGAAAGACGCTCACATTGCTTTAAAGGAGACAGCCAAGTTCACTACCACACTGCACAACAGAGATAGATAGATGATAGATAGATAGATAGATAGATAGATAGATAGATAGATAGATAGATAGATAGATAGATAGATAGATAGATAGATAGATAGATAGATAGATAGATAGATAGATAGATAGATAGATAGATAGATAGATAGATAGATAGATAGATAGATAGATAGATAGATAGATAGATAGATAGATAGATAGATAG